AAGAACTTTTGGAAAATTATTTAAATTAATTGATTCAGAGATTTTAGTTGAAAATTGTAGAAAATAATTAAATTCAGGAAGGGTTAGAATTGTAATTTTTAGAAATTATTAAAATCCATCAATTTTACTCATTTTCCGTAAAAATTAATATTTTCCTGTGAAAAGAATTTTGTTAGGGAAAGTAATTTTAATGTCAGTAAATTGTCAGGGAAATTTGTTAAACTGAAACTTGTGACCACCCTTTATTAATAGACAAAAAATACCTATAGTGATAACAATAATTTAATAATAATAATCATGTCAATTAAGAACAATGGTTACATTTTGAAAATTTTATTTTTTTTCCAAAATGTACTTTTCTTTCTTAAATATAATCTAACACTAGTTTCTCTATAATACATGTCGTGGGTATATTACACTGCATTTAAAAGTGTATTTAAAGTTTAAAAGGACTCGTTTCAAAAGCGGAGCTTCCACATGCGGCTCAATCAGTGCCGCATGTGCGCGATGCAACACGCTCGACCTAGCCAAGGTCGGGCCGCCTGCATTCTACGTGTTCTTGTCTTATCCACGAGTAACGCAGGTGATATCTGGACGGGTACTCTTTCTGGTATGATACTCAACTGACGACATTTTCTTCGTGTGCGAGACAAGGATATATATTACTTTGACTCGTGTCAGAGGTCTATGACCTTGAGATAATTTGCGATGGATTTTTCCTTTTTTTCCAACCCCCTCTCTCTTTCTCTCTCTCTCTCTCTTCAGTTCTCTCTTCTTCTCTCGCTTCAGTTTGGTGAAGAAATACTATTCTTTTAAAATTTTAGTTTATTTTTTTTTCTTTCTTCTTTTTCTATAGATTCTATAGAAAATGATTTTTAAAATAAGCTTAATATAATTAAAAAAGCGTTATTCAAATTTTTGTAAAGCATTAAAAATGTTTTTTTAAAAATATTTAAATAAAATACTGGGCAGTACACTTTTCGGTGCAAATAGGTTCTAAATTGTTAGGGGGACAGTTTCATCAACTTCGATTAAAAGTTAAATGATTAAATCCTTAACCGACCAAACATGCGGCTAAACTGACTTTATGATTAACTTCATTGATTAACTTTTAACTTTATCTTTTTAATTTTTTAATGAACTTTTTGGTGAAACTAATCCTTAATTTAGTTTTAAGCTCAGAAACAGGATACTTTACTGTCATTTTGATTTTTATAAACAGTTTCGGATTTTCTTTCTCCTAGTTTTTCTTGCAATTCTATAATGGGTCAACTTTTGACCCCCGGGAATAAAAATTCAATTTTCTACATATTGTCCCAGTTTATCTTTTTTTTTTGAGGAGAGGACATTTTGCCAAAAAAAAGATTGAATGTTAAAATTTGAAAAACCGGTTGATGAGGGGTTGGTATGCCTTGAAGAAATGTCGTCAGCCAACCAGCTGATCCTGGGAACATCGCCCCGTGCGCGGACGTGATTTTTTGCCCGAATTAGGGTCTCCTTGATTTAAGGCCGACGGCCTCGGTTCTCACACGAAGGGGTCAGACTCCTTACCTCTCTTTTCTGTTGTTTGTTCTGGTGCCAATTTGGTCCCGATGTCGGTAAAATTTGGAACGCACTCGTTTTGTTTTTCTTTTTTTGTTTTGAAGAGAAAAGTGGGGGGCAGATGAATTGCAATTTACATTGGTTTCTTTTTTTTGGAAAGCGATTTCGCGAGGGAACGAACGATACTTGAAAAGAAGGTGGGTTTGAGACGTGGTTCGGCAACTTTGGTTCCCAGCAAACCAGTGTGTCGATTGGTCTGGATTGTTCGCGAAATTCTTTCAATAGTATTCGATGAATCTATCGAGGCACGTCGTCGTCGTCCTCGGATCCAAAATGTTGAACGCAAGGTATGCCGGTCATTATAGGCGGGGTTCCTTTTTGGGGTTTTGCCGGTTCTCTTGATCCTGCCACTTCACTTGAACGGCATTGGGAATTCCTTTATTCACTTAACGCCTTTATGGTAGTAAAAGTGACAAGTCGATATTGTATTTTTAATTTTTCTCCTCCACGCGATGTATATTTCGAATTCGAATAATAATTAAAAAAAAGAAACCAAATTCAGAATTCTTTTTCAAAAGATAATGGAAATCCGAAATTTTAAATAGAAATTTCATTATGTAGAAGATTTTATATGCTACCGGTCATTTGAGGCCTTCAAACGAAATGGGAAGTTTGTTTCTCCGAGCTCACAATAGATAGAAACCGAATGATATGTTTAACTAAATACGTTACCGTTTGCCGTATCAAAGGGAGAACTGTACCTTTATGATGGTTTCTAGTTGGTTCGCATCTAAGCAGTCTACCGGTTAACGCTGTGGTTACGGTTTACTATACGTGTGTTTGCGGCCTCTTCCTTCTCTCTCTCTTTTTCACTCCCTTACTCTCTCTCTCTCTCTTTCTCTTCCTCTCTTATCCACCCCCTTTCGTTAGATTTTCCACGTAGATACAACGTCAGAAGATGCATCAATCGCAAAATTGAAATTTCAGCTTCAACAATAATTACCATTGTCATCGTACTGCTGGTGCTTTCTGCGAGGATCGTTACCAAATCGGGAGAACTTCTCATAACGAGACAACAGTGCTTCTACAATAATAACTCAAAACTAATCGGAAATTATTACCCATTTCAGACTTCGCACTCAATAATTAATTTTTGAAAAGTAGCTATCAAGCTTAAAAAAAGTAGCCAACGAAAAAACGACCAAAAAAACTTGTTTTAGACACTTTACAAAACTAACAAAAATTCCATTCTAAATTTTATTTTCCTAATAATTAATTTTATTAATTACTAATTAATTAATTAATTAATTTATTTATTTATTTATTTTACTAATTTTATTTTACTTTTTCCTAATTATCAGCAAAAATATTAACTTCTTTCTTATTTTGCTAATAAATTAAATTCCTGCAACGAATTTTATTATTCATGAAAAATTAAAAATATTTATTAAGTAGTAGAATTTATCACTCGGTAAAAAAGATTCTTGACATTTAATATAAATATTTATAAAAATAATTTAATTCTTGCGAAGAATTTCATGAACATTTTTGAATAATTGATTTCTTTCGACTAATTTTATGCATATTCTAATTTAATATTTAAAATATTTAAATAATTGAATTCCTGAGAAATTTATAATATTTATAAAAAGAATTGAATTCTTACGAAGATTTAAATAAAATTGTTTAAATAATTGAATTCTGTTGAATTGCAAAAAGATTTTTTGAAAATAATTCAATTTTACAAAAAATTCTATTAAAATTTTTTAGAATAATTGAATGTCTGTGTGGGCATTTTATTAAATTTTTTTGAAAATAATTAAATTCCTAAAAAGCATGTTATTATTTATGAAAATAATTGAATTGAATTGAATTAAATTGAATTGAATTGCGAACAATTTTATTAAAATTTTTGAAAATAATTGAATTTCCAAGAAAAAAATTATTATTTTTAAAAATAATTGAATTCTTGTAATGAATATTGTTATTTAGGAAAAAAATTGAATTTTGCAAAGAATTTTATTAACATGACTCAAAATAATTGAATTTTCGGTAATAATTTTGTCTTTTATCGACATAATGGAATTTCTTTCCACGAATTATTTATGTAAATAATTGAATTCTTGGAATGGATTTTATATAAAATTTAAAAGAATAATTGAATTATTTCAAAAAAATTAAATTAAAATTGTACTTAAAATAATTGATTTCTTACCAACAATTTTATGAAAATATTTGAAAATAATTAAATTCCTGTGAAAAATTCTAATATTTTTGCAAATAATTGAATTCTTTCAAAAAATTTTATTAAAATTACATTAAAAACAATTCAATTATTATAAAGAAATTTATTTAAATTTTTGTCAAATAATTGAATTCTTTTAAAAAATTTTATTGAAATTTTTGATAATAGTTGCATTTTTTTCGTGGAATTTATTTAAAATTATTGTATTAAAAATAATTGAAATCCTGCCATGAGTTTTAATATTTATAAAAATAATTGAATTCTTGCAACAAATATCGTTAAAATTTTAAAAAATAATTTAATTCCTGAGAAGAATTTTATTATTTACAAAAATAATTGAATGGTTGCAAAGAATTTTATTAAAATTTCCAAAAATAATTGAATTCCTGAGAAATTTTTATTATTCATAAAAAGAATTGAATTCTTACAAAGATTTTTACAAAACAATTTTTAAATAATTAAATTCCTGGGAAATTTTTAAGATTCATGAAAAGAATTGAATTCTTGCGAACGATTTTATTAGAATTTTTTAAAATAATTGAATATCCAAGAAAAAATTTATTATTTTTTAAAATAATTCAAATCTTGTGATGAATATTGTTATTTAGGAAAATAAATGAATTTTGCAAAGTATTTTATTAAAATGCCTCAAAATAATTGAATTTTTGGGAATAATTTTGTTATTTATCGACATAATTGAATTCTTTTAAAGAATTATTTATGTAAATAATGGAATTCTTGGAAAGAATTATTTATGTAAATAATTGAATTCTTGGAAAGAATTATTTATGTAAATAATTGAATTCTTAGAAAGAATTTTGATACAATCTTAAAGAATAATTGAATTATTTCAAAAAAATTTAATTACAATTGTATTTAAAATTTTAAATTAATAGATTTCTTTTGAACTTTTTTGGTTAAAATATTTAAAAATAAGTGAATTCCTGTAAAAAATTCTAACATTTTTGCATTAATTAAATTCTCCCAATAAATTAAAAAAAACATTTTTTTAAGTAATTGATTTTTTTGACGAATTTAAAATAAATTTTTTAAGATTAATTACAATTTTTTTAAATTGTATTAAAAATATTTGAAATCTTGCGATGAATTTTATTATTTATGAAAATAATTGAATTATTGCAAAAAATTTTATTAAAATGTTTAATAAATAAATAAATAAAAACTATAAACTTTAATCGAAGTCCAATGTTAATACTTTAAAATTAATATTTTATTAAATTATATATAGTTACAAAAGCTAATTATAACTAAAGAACCAATTTCCAATTGGTAGTTGAATAATCTCTGATGTACATCACAATTTTTCCAGCATATATTGTAGACTATAGTCTATCAAGAAGTTTGTATGCAAACATTTTCATTTTTCTCTGGCAACACAGGTTTCATCAATTCGAGAAATTCATCTAGAGGACATAACTTTAAGCATCCTGGAATTTCTAAAATTTCAATTTTAGATGGAATTCCCGAATAATAGAGTATCTGAAATTTTATATTAAATTAATTGTATTTAATTTAAATAATTTTATATATTTGTATATTTATATTTTATTTTTTTTTTTACCATACATTATTTTTCTTTACTAAATTTTATTTATTTTACACTTTGTTTATTTTACATTATATTTTATTTAATTTATAAAAATAATTTATAATTTTATTTATTAATTTTTCTTTTTATTTTACTTAACATTTGAACTTAGCATTTGAACTATTATGACGTCAGTGTTATAACTGTAACGTCATAATGGTTCAATGCCCTTAAATGAGAATTAAAATAAAAAAGAAGTCTATAAATTTCTATAAGGGGAAAATTAAAACTTTACCTGCACAAAATATTGGTTATTTAATTTGTGCAATTCGATCATTATTGCACTTGAAAATTTAGGAATGTGCAACTTATAGACTCCAAGTGTAGACAGTAAGTTAATGAGATTATCATGATGTCCACTGTAGAGATAAATTTTTGTTTTCTTCCTCAATAGATTATCTTTTATTCTTATCATTTCATCTGCTATTTTGTTTATAAGAGAGCCTGGAAAAAAGATTAATTTTGCTGATATTAGTAATTTTAGTGAGGAATGTTTCTTAAAAATATATATTAAATGTCTATTTGAAAATAGACATTAAATGTCTATTTTAAAATAGACATTAAATGTCTACTTGAAAATAGATATTAAATGCGTCTATTTAAAAATAGATATTAAATGTTTATTTATAAATAGATATTAACTATCTATTTATAAATCTAAAGTTTATTTTTGTACTGTAGAAAATTTACCGGTACTCAATTTTTTCATCAAATTATTGTAAGTCATTAATTCAAAGTTGAATAAAATTGCCTCCATTACTTGAGTATTATTTAGAACATACTTCGTCCAATTTGGTAATTTGAGATTCATTTTTTCCTCCATCTCAAGGGTGAAATGAATTTTATATAAATCAGATAAATTATTTATTTTCTCTCCAGTAATATTCGATAAATTTTGTATCAAATTTTCAAATTTTTGTAATTTCTCCTTCACCTGAATAGTTTGCTTCAAATTTTTCAATTCTTCCAAATAGCTATATATAAAATTGAAAAAAGTTAAATGCAATTCTATTGAATTAATATTTATTTCATTTACTTACTAAACAATAGTTCTTAATTGCAATTCATTTTAATTTTTAATTTTAATTTTAAGTTATTTTGATGCTTGATTATAATTTTCATTCTTTTATTTTTATTTTTAATTTAATTTTCTCAATGTACCGAGAACATTTTATTGACGTTAGCAAAATATCGTCAGTTTCCGGTTCATATTCAAAAGGAATTGGCTGCCATTTAATTGAAGAATTCCAAATTTGTGAACTATCTGGAGGATACAATCCTGCAAGAACTAATTGCAAGGAAACTTTGGTCGAATCATAAATTGTGCTTCGTGCTTCAATAAATTCATATTGATATGTTGAATTTAAAAAATCTTTATACTTTTCTCGAAGAGTTTGCCCTAATTTGTATTCATTTAGTTTTCCCTCCTAAAAAATTGAATAAAATGCGAATGGAATTTAATAAAAATAATGTAAATCCTAGACTATAAAAATAAACAGCAACAATTCGCGTTAATATATATATATATATATATATATATAATTATTTAATAAAAATAATGTATTTACAGAAGAATTTTAGTTAAAAATACTAAAAAATGGAATTTTGAAGAAGTTACAAATAATTGCAGAAATTCAATTATTTTTAAAAGTAATAAAATTCTTATCACAAAATTTAATTATGTTTAAAAATTACAAAAAATTCTCGACAAAATCCTAATTATTATCATTAGAAATAAAAAATTCTTCTTCAAAATTCAATTATTTTCAAAAAATTTAATTAAATTCATGGCAAATGGAATTTGCAAAAATTTTTTCAAAAAATCAAATGTTTTAAAATTCGACATTAAATTCTTAGCAGTAATTCAATTATTTTCATAAATTTTCAAATTCTCTTCAGGGATTTAATTATTTTATTATAAATAATAAAATCATTCGGAGGAAGTCCATTATTTTCATAAATAACAATATTCATCACAAGAATTCAATTATTTTCAAAAGCAATAAAATTCAATTATTTTCAAAACTTTTAATAAAATTCATGGCAAAATTTCAATTATTTTCAAAAAATTTTTCAATTTAATAGTTTGTATATCTATTATTTTAATAAAATTTCCTAAAAGAATTCAATTATTTTCCAAAATTTTGTCAAAGTTCTACACAAACATTCAATTATTTTCCAAAAGAATAAAAATTTTACAGGAATTCAATTATTAAAAATAAAATTTGCATAAATTTAAAAAAAAAAACAATTGTTTGAAACTTTTTTATAAAATTCTTCTCAATAATTCAATTATTTTCAGAAATAATAAAACTAATCACAGAATTTCAATTATTTTTAATACAATTTTAATCGAATTCCTTGAAAAATATTACTATTTCAAAATTTTTTATTAAAATTCATCAAAAGAATTTAATTGTTTAAAAATTTGTTAATAAAATTCTTTATAAGAATTAAATTTTAGGAAACATTAAATAATTTGCTTTTGTATTTAAATAATTGAATTCTCGTAGAATTTTCTATAATAAAAATTGATTTGTAAATGAATTTTAGTTTAAATTTAAATGTTTTGAAGAATTTTAAATAAATAAAATAAAATAAGTAAATAAATTTAACAGAACTTTTTTTTGAATAAAATTTTTTCCTTTATTTTCTAAAAATTAAAAAATTTTCAGTTTCATTTTCAATGAAATTTTCTAATTGACAAATATAATTTATAAACATTTTTTTCCTTTATTTTTAAAAAAAACTTTGAATTTTATTAAAACAATTGAAATTAAGAAATAGAATTTATGCAAATTATTTCCTTATGAAAATTGAGAATTTTCTACAAAAATATTAAGAAACGGGAATATCCAATGTTTTTCTTCCCAAAAGAAAAAAATGAGTTTATAAACAATATTGTCATTGGAAAATAAAAATTATGCATAAAATGAATATATTTTCTACTTCTTAATAAAAATTTTTTAACAATTAACAATTTTCTAGTATTTTTTATAAATTTCTCCTAAATTATTAGGAGAATAATTTGCATAATAATTTAGAGCAGTCAAACGAAATTTTAATTAAATAAAAATTTCTAAAAATTGTTCGCTGTCTAAAATTTTATAATATAGGAGTTCATTTTAATTTTTTTTCTTTTTGAAATAATTATTTAACAATAAAAATAAATCATACGTTTGTTAATCCACTTTGTCCCATTGGAAAGTAATTATTTTCCACGTTCGGGTTGTTCTTATAGCCCTCTCCAGCATCAGTGTATGGCATTCGCTCTCCATTTCTAAAAACCTGTAAATATAAGAAAAAATAAATTAATTTATTATAAATAAATTAGTTTATTATAAATAAATCAGTTTTTTTTATAAATAAATCAATTTATTATCAATAAAATTAAATTTAAACTTTTTCTATTCTATTTTATTGATACAACCAGAAAAAAGATATAATTTTACTTCGGAGCCAACTAGACATTATATTTGTTTTAAATAAATTTTATTTGGTTAAAAAAAATTGTATTTGGTTCAATTAAATTTTATTTGGTTAAAATAAATTTTATTTATTTCAAATAAATTTTATTTGGTTAAAATAAATTTTATTTGGTTCAAATAAATTTTATTTGGTTCTAATAAATTTTATTCAAAAAATAAAATTTTTATTTAAACCAAATAAATAATCCAGTTGGCTCTGAGAAAAATACATATTTACTCAACTCAAATAAATTCTACTAAGTTTAAATAAAATTTTTCTCTGCATTAAATAATTAAAATTTAGTATACAAAATTTTTCATTCGCATATTATTTCTATATCTGATATAAAATAATAAAATAAATATATCTAAAAGTAATATTATTTTCTTACAACAATGGTTAATTCAAGTTGAGGCTTTTCATCGTCGTCAGAATAAACAAACTGAAGAACTAGGTAAATTGTCAATGAGAGTGTGATAAATATGAATACGGAAGCTGCCAAATAATACACAATTTTCATTCTATTCGTTTGTTCTCCTTTTTCTTTTCTTTCTTTGAATTTATAAATTTTCGAAAATATATTTAATTAACTCCCTGGTATAAATTATATGTTATCAAAAATATTTTACTGATTCTTTTTTTTTTCTTAGAAAAATGACAGAATATCACAATGTTTCACATTTTCTTGTTGAATATGCAGAGTACTGATAACGCTTGTTATGACATTCTGCTGTGGTTTTATTTCAGTCTAACCAAATGATAAGAAACTTTCAGTGCTGTAACATTTTATAGGCCCTATTATAAATCCGTTATTGTTTGAATTTTATAAAAAAAATAATTCTATATGACGTAAAGTTTATTAAAAATCACGTCAGAAAAAAAATTACTGATTAAATAGTGACATTTTGCTAGTTTTTAATTTTGATAAAACACAATTATTCATTTCTATTATTAGTTGATTTCTATATTATTATTTTTAGTTAGTATATTTATAGTTAATTTTTTTTTGGCTTTTTTAGTTTTTTGAATTAATTTTTTTAGTTTTTTATTTTTTTATAGTTAATATATTTTTAGTCATAATATCTTTATAGAAAATTTTTTTATAGAAAAAAAAATAAAAATAAATAAACAGTTATAGAAAATAGGAAAAATTGCCAGCATATTAAAAAAGGAAAATGAATTTATAAATTTTAATGAATATTAATAAGTGAAAAATGAAATATAACGAAAATTGAATATATTTCTTTTCGGATTAACAATAATAGAGAACAATAGAAATAAAAAACAAGTTTCGAGTGTCACTGTGAGATGAGAATAATAGATTCGGTATCTTTTGCTTTAGGCTCTGGAAATATCACATTTTCCGGGCTTCCATTATTACAACTGAAAAGGTATTTCACATTTTCATTGAAATAGTGACATACAGGTAATGCTTTGCTATTTCCCCATGCAGTTAATATGTCAAAGGTATATATAAAATGATACCAAAAACAATAATTAACAATGTCACTTCTACATTTCTCAGGTTTCCAACATATCCTTCAAAATTGTTTGATCTTTTATTCACATCAATGAACATTTATTTATATTATAAAATATTTTATTTCAGGAAATTTATCATCGACTGTTTTTTTAAAAAATAAATAAACAAAGAGTTTTTATAATTTTTACTACAATTTTCAACCAAAAAAAGAATAGGATTGCCTCTGGTCAGGGAAATCAGAAAACATTCAGGGAAATAAATTGAAATTCTGCAATCATTTGAAACTTCTAAATTCAATTTTTTTTAGTATGTACTTTAATGAAAATCCCTGATTTTCCCTGATATCCCTGACCTACTCTCTAAATTTAAATTAGTAAAAATATTAATTCGAATTAGAGACTGACTTTTTGCTTTTAAATTAATAAATTTTACTAATTGTAAGAAATAGTAATTTCTACTAATTTATTAGTAAAATTCACTATAATTCAAAAGCAAAAAATCTGTCACAAATTGAAATAAGTAAACATTTTTACTAATAAATGTTTTTCAAAATTGAATCCTCATAAAGAATTTTATTAACAAATTTTTAAATAATTGAATTTTTTCGACGAATTTTAATAAAATTTGGAGAGTATGACAACCCTGAAAATGTTAAAATATTTTAAAAATAAAAAACTTGCAGAATTTTCATGGAAACTTCATGGAAATTCTATAGAATAACTCCACGGAATTTCCAGAGGGTAATTCCATGGAATTTTTCGACGTGCGGGTAAACGAAACACAAAAAAAAATTGAATAAGTCAAAAAGGGCAAAAATAGGCTGAAATAGGGCCCAAGTAGGGCAATTTCAAATTGAAGACAATTTTGCCAGGCAAAAAGTGGATTTTATCCATTGGCTTATTTGTGAGAGAGGGCAACACCTCAAGTGCACGATGACAGGAGTCATCAATACCTTCACGGTGGAGATGTTTAACAGTGTGGTCGTAAATACAAAGAGGAGTCGATAAGTTAGTAAACTAATTAGCAGGCCTGCCGACAAAGACGAGCCATGCCTCGTCTGTCGCCAACGTTTTTACAACAATTCCCTCTTCACCCCCCCCCCCTTGAGTGTTTGTCCCTCTTTCACGTATTTGATTTTGTTTTCTCTTAATCCTCTCTTCCCTTCCACTTTAAATTTCTCCTCGTCTTTCTTTACGATTCTCATCTTTGCTTCCCACGGGACAGTGATTTCTCCTGATTCCCCCCCCCCTCCCCCACCCCCTGTACTTCAATAAAGAATCGATATCGATAGTTTTTTTTTTTTCATCACAAAAAGTTAAATACGAAAAAAAAAATTTTATAAAATACTTTTTCGTTTCTGTACTTGAAACTACATATATACATCAATTTCAATTTTTAATAAATTTTGAAAAAGTTCTTCTTTGAGAATTTTTAAATATACATTTGTATACAATTCGTTTTACGAAAATTCGATTATTCGTAAATTCTTCAATTAAATATTACATTAGAAAATAAAAACTTGAAATAATTTTTGAAAAATTTCGATTAAGTTTTTGGAAAAAAATTAGTTCCATAGAATTTTTAATTAAGTTTATGAAAAATTCAGATTTTTCAAAGATTTTAATTTGAAACCTTTACAGAATTCAATTATTTTTAAAAATTGTAATTATTAGTAACTTATCAAAAATTCAATTATTATCTAAAACTTTAACTGAAATTAATTTTTAAATCAATTTTTATTAGAAAATTTTACGAGAATTCAATTCAATTCAAATTTTTAAGAGTAATTTCATTTATCGAGGAATTCGATTAAAATTTTTTTACAAAAAAATTGAATTTCTGCAATGAGTTTAATTATTTATGAAAATAATTGTATTATTGTGAAGAAATTTATAAAAAAAAAGTTTCAAACAATTGGTTTTTTTAAAATTTATGCAAATTAAATCAAAATTTAATTTAATCAGAAAATTCTAAAAGAATACCTATTCAATTTAAATTATTAAGAATAATTACATTTTTCGAGAAATTCGATTAAAATTGTATTTAAAAAAATTGAAATTCTAAAATAAGTTATTTTATTATTTAGGATAATAATTGAATATTATTGCGAAGAATTTTGTAAAAAAAGTGGCAAACAGTTGGTTTTTTAAAATTTATGTAAATTTTATTTTTAATAATTGAATTCCTGTAAAATTTTTATTCTTTTGGAAAATAATTGAATTCTTTTGGGAATTTTTATTAAAATAATAGATACAAAAATTACTGAATTAAAAAAAATTTCTTAGAAGAATTTCATTAATTTTCAAAATAATTGAATTCTTGTTATAAATATTGTTATTTATGAAAATAATTAAATTTCTAGAAAGAATTTTATTATTTATTAAGATAATTGAATTCTTTCAAAGAATTTCGTTAAAATTTTTGTAATTGAAACCAATTTCAACAGAATTGAAATAAAAATTGTTAAAAAAAAATTAATTCAATGATTTATAAATAATAACTTTATGGCATTTCTTTAATAGAATTAAGTTATTTAAATTAAAATATTGTCAGAAATAGAAAAAAATTTAAGGTTTTTTTTTAGAATTCTTGGTAATTTCATAGTTTATTTTATTATAAGTTGTTGAATTTCATAAAGATTTGAAATTGAAATTTTTGAAAATCTTAATTTCTATGGAATAATAAATAATGATTAAATATTTATTTAAAAAAGAATTTATTGCTGTTTTGGAATAATGTTACAAGAAAAAAAATTCGTAATTAAATGTAATAGAACAGTTTTTTGAGTATCCAATCATTTTTAAAGTGAATCAGAATATTCTTTATAGGGTCAGGGAAAAATTCAAAATTTTGTCTGGAACTCAGGGAAAAGTCCAGGGAAATTCTGTAAGTTTTTTATTTTAATATACTGTATATTATGATTAGAGTCTATTTATAAGTTTTGTTGCAATTTTTTTGCAAAATGCAAAATATCTTTTGTGCTGTAAATTGAAATGAAAAAATTATTAGTTTCTTAAAAATATGTTTTTCAAAAAATAGTTATAATATAATTAAAATAAATAGTAGAAAAGTAATTGAAATTATTGAATTGAATAATAAAAATTGGGATCATTTGCCGCGAAAATGGAGAATTTATCTTGAAAATTGGACCGATAGAGTCTCGTTCCAAGAGACAAATTAAGTTCTTGCGTTCGGAAAGCAATCGACCAAAGATCCACCTTTAGTCTTTAACGAGACTTTACCGACCAAGTTCCAGTCGGCAAAGATCAGTGGACACAGACTTTGAACACATGTGTCACCTCTTTTCTATAACCTCTTTCTTCTCACTATACCCACCGAGAATTATCTGTATTCCAACAGTAATGAATCGTCCGCATTAGTCTGACTGAGATAAAGAAAAAAAATTATATTTTTTCCCCCCTTCAATCGAATTGAAAAAGAAAAATCGCTCATGTAGATACTTTATATTTGAAAATACATTTTTCACATTTAAAAAATAATTTTAAAATCAAAAAGAGAAATTTAAAATTTTTTATAATGTATAAAATGTATAAAATGTATAAAATGTACAAAATGTATAAAATGTACAAAATGTACAAAATGTATAAAATGTATAAAGTGTTCAAAATGTATAAAATGTACAAAATGTATAAAATGTATAAAGTGTACAAAATGTACAAAATGTACAAAATGTACAAAGTGTACAAAATGTATAAAATGTAAATCGACACTCTTAAACGTACGCGTTCAAGCGAACCAATGAGATTCACTAAAAGGATAATTTTTTAACTAAGTTACGCACCGAACTCCCGACATTCTCTCTTTTCCTCATTCATCCCTTGCGCTCCTTCGCTGATTGGCAATTTCGCGTCTTGCATTTTTATCCACAGTCTTTCCCGTCGACAGTAACCCCTTCATTTTTAAATTATCCACCAGATTAATCAAGGCGTCATTTTTCACGTCCAATTTGCAATAAAAAGAACGAAAAGTGATGGAGAAAAAAAAATCCCTCCTCTCTTTTCTCTCCTTCTCCTTCCGTTAGTGAAAAGAAATGGATATAGCCGTACAGTTGAGAAAGGGAAGAGAAAATATTTTTCTTTTATTTCAAAACGATTCAATAAAAATGAGATGGAATTAAAACAAGTCCATGCAAGAGGAGTAAATTTTATTCTTAATTGATACATTCTGAATTAATTAATTCTTCCACTGGGATAGTCGACGACGAAAAGGGTTGGAGAAAAAGAGAGAGAGAGAGAGAGAGAGAAAGAGAGGAAAAAAAGGGCTAGCTTGGTCACAAAGACGCTTTCTTAATTAGTAGAGGCAGTAAATTTCTTTCATTGGACACTTTTTTTCTTCGATTATTAGAGCATAGATCTTCCACCACCCTTTATTGGGTTCTTACAACCCTTTTTTTTAGGAACTGACATTCAACATCTGTTAGAATTGATCGTTCCCTATAAAAAATTTAAAGTAGGGGCTGGGCAACACTTGGTTTGTGGGGGTGGATTATACGTAAATTTTCTCTAATCCTACTTTTCATACTTTTATTTTTCTTGTTGCGGAAAGCTTGCCTGAACTTTGCAGAAAGATTACAAAACTTTCCGGAAGGTTTCAAAATTTCCAAGAAGGTGGAACCTTCCCGGCTTCGCACTTATCTACTAAAACCTACTATTTACTACTTTTTTTACGTCATGTTACTGTTTAGGTACTTTTTTAGATTTCAGTCACTAAAAGCTACTATTTCTGTTTTTTTAGAATTTACTTTAAATTCGCCAATACTAGAAATCAAAAAACTATTATTAAAAATTATAATCAAATTTTTTAAAACGATTCAATTATTTATAAAAAAAATTCGAAATTCAATTACTTTCAATATCTAGTATTTTCATAATATTTCGCAAAAGAATTCAATTAAAAAAGAAATTGATAAAATCCATCCAAAATTCAATTATTTTCATAAATAATAAAATTTCTACAGGAATTCAATTAATTTGGAATAGTATTTTCAAAAACATTTCGAAAAAATCAATGACTTAAAAAATTCTTATACAATTCTTCACAATAATTCAATTACTTCCACAAATAATGACATTTTTCAAGGAAATTCAATTTTTTAAAAAAAATTTCTGATAAAATTCTAAGCAAGAATTCAATTATTTTCATAAATAATGAAACTCATCAAAAAATTTCCATTATTTTTTATTCTAGGTTTTAAATTAATTAATCGAAAAATTCAATTATTTTCAGAAATAAAGTTTTTCGCAAGAATTCAATTATTTAAAATACGATTTACATAATTTTTTTTATATTTCGAAAAAATTAATTATTTTAAATACTGTTTAAAAAATTCTTATAAAGAATTCAATTATTTTCATAAATTACAAAATTTTGCACAGAAATTGAATTTTTTTAAAAACATTTTAAGAAAATTTTTCGCCATAATTCAATTATTTTCCGAAATAATGAAATTCTTCTCAGGAATTCAATAATTTAAAAAATTTTTTATAAAATTCTTTGCAACTATTCAATTATATTCATAAATAATAAAATTCTTCAATGAATTTCAATTATTTTTAATAAAATTTTGCGCAATAATTCAATTTTTTTTCGGAAATAATCAAATTTTTCTCAGAAATTCAATAATTTTTGAAAATTTTAATAAAATTCTTAACATTTACTCAATTATTTTCATAAATAATAAAATTTATCGCAGGATTTTAATTATTTTTAATACAATTTTATATAGGCATTGCTTAAAAAATGTAATTATTCCTTAAAATTTAATTTCAATTCAATTCCTCGAAAAAATTACTTATTTTAAAAAATGTTTTTTTTTAAATTCTTTGGAAGAATTCAATTATTTTCAAATAGTTTAATAACATTTTTCAATAGAAATCATTTATTTTAAATAGAATTTTAATTAAATTGTTTTGAAATAATTCAATTATTCTTTTAGATTGTTAATAAAATTCTTCTTAATAATTCAATTATTTATATAAATAATTCTTTGAAAGCATTTAATAATGTTGATAAATAACAAAAGTATTCCCAAAAATTCAATTATTTTGAGGCATTTGAATAAAATTCTTTACAAAATTCAATTATTTTCATAAATAACAATATTCATCACAAGAATTCAATTATTTTTAAAAGTAATAAATTTTTTCTTGGAAATTCAATTATTTTAAAAAATTCTAATAAAATCGTTCGCAAAAATTTAATTATTTTTATAAATAATAAAATTCTTTTTAGGAATTCAATTATTTTCAAAAAAATATAATAAAATGCCATACAGACATTCAATTATTCTCAAAAATTTTAATATAATTCTTTATTAAATTTAATTATTTTTAAAAACTTTTCGCAAGTAATGATTTCAATATTTACTATTTTCATAAAATTTTCAAACAGAATTTAATTATTTTAAAAAAAATTTTTTAAAATCTTCGTAAGAATTCAATTCTTTTCATAAATAATACCAATTTCTCAGGAATTCAATTGTTTAAATTATAATTTGCATAAAATTATCCGAAAGAAATTAATTATTTAAAAATTTTTAGAAAATTCTTCGCAAGAATTAAATAATTTTTATAAATATTTTAATTCTTTCATAAATAATAAAATTTTTTGTCTGTTCTGTGAAGTGTCTAAAATTATTTTTTTGGTCGTCAAGTTTAATTTTTCCATAGCTATTTTTTTTACAATTTTTTTAGTTTTAACGCTACTTTCTGCTACTTTTTTAAAATTATAATTATCGAGTGCAAAGTCTGCTTCCTGAAAATTTGAGTACCTTCCAGAAATTTTTGAAACGCAAATAGCACAATATAACAAAGTTGCGTCAATATTGCTACTCTCTAAATTTGAATTAGTAAAAATATTTACTAATTAGAATTAGTGACTGACTTTTTGCTTTTGAATTAGTAAATTTTACTAAAAAATTCGTAGAAATAACTATTTAATAGTAAAATTTACTAATTGAAAAGCAAAAAGTCAGTTACTAATTCAAATTAGTAAAGATTTTTACTAATTCTAATTTAGAGAGTACCATATGTTGTACTATTTGTCTATTTAATAAAACATTTTAATTTTATTTTCAATTTTCATTTCTATGATTCATCACGTTTTTCTATGAATTATGGAGACTTTTTTTCACATATGTTTTACAAAAAAGGGAACACTGTATTTAAACTGTTATCACTATTTTTTTTTCTTTTTTACTGATGAAATATATATATTTCCTGAGATAAAACTTTAGCAATTACCATATATATATTTATTCTTCATTCAGTTGCTGAATATAAGTGAGCAAAGAATGATGCAAGCCGAAAGTGTTTTAAATACAGAAAAGTGCTTTGAAATAATAAAAAAAAATGTCTATCTCAATTATCCAAAAAATAAAAATTTTCATTTTAAATTTACCCCGCGCAGTGAATTCGAGGGTTTTTTGGGACAGTACTACAATCTTAATGTGAGTTTTAAAAATAAAAGAAACAAACGTGAATATTTAGATTTTTTTGTAAAACTCCCCCCAATTGATGGTCCACAAAATAATTTTGTCGAAGAAGGCGATTGTTTTAAAATTGAACTTGGACTTTACGTAAAAATATTTCCAAAACTTCAATTATCGAAGGAAAGGCAACTTATCCCGAAATGTTTTTTAGGATTTGATAATTGCCTAGTTTTAGAAGAGATGGTAAATTTTAAGTGTTTAGATAAATTTGATTTCTTTTCATTTGAACATTGTACTGTTGTCATGAAATCTATCGCTCGGTTTCATGCGAAATCAATTATTTTTGAAGAAAAAAAGAAAATCACGGTTTTAGAATTGTGTTGGAGGGAGAACATTAAAATTAATTTAAATGATTGTACGTTTCAATCAACTTTGGATTATTTTGTGAAAAATTTACTTCATCTAATTGATAATTCAGAGGAGATTGATGAAAAGGAAAAACGAATGATGTATAGAAAAAAAATTGAAACAATTGCTTTGAATCATTTTAAACATACGTCACCGATAAATAAGGAAATTAATGTTTTGGTCCACGCTGATCTTTGGACAAATAATATTTTGTTTAAATATCAAAACGAAAAGGTGAAGCAGTGTTGTATCGTCGATTTTCAAATGGCACGGTAATTATTTTCACTCTACTAATTAAAAATTAAAATTGTCAATTTAAATTCAAGCTAATTAAAATTATTAATTAAAATTGTTTTTAACTAAAAAAAAATGATAAAAAATGGCAAAACTAAAAAAGAAAATAAAAGAAAAGCAAAAAAAAGAAAGGCAAAAAAAGAAGACAAAGAAAAAAAGAAAGAATGAAAAAAAGTAAAAAAACAAAATAAAAAAATTTTTAAATTATCAATTAAAAATATTAATTAAAAATTTTTCTCTACTACGATTCTTGAAATCTTTATCACTTTTATTAATTTTTTTTTCTAAAAAACCAATTATAAGTGAACAAATTTTTTTATCAAATAAAAATTTTACATTGTTGCTTTTATGATGATCTCTTCACCTTCCACTCATTAATTTGTTAATCATATATTTTTTTATTTCTGTACACAGATACTGTGCCCCAGCTTATGATTTACTGTATTTTCTATATAGTACAACATCAGAAAATTTTCGCCAAGAAAAAATGGATAGTTTACTGTTAATTTATCATCAAACATTAGAAGAATGTTTAATGAAAGAGGCAAATTTAAATGTAAATTTAATATTTCCATTTGAAGATTTAAAAAAATCTGTATCAAAAATCGAAGTTCATTGTATGATTCAAGCATTTTCTATAATGTCAGTAACACTATTGGGACATGATGCTTCCTTTCAAAGAATCAATGAAAAAATGCCTCTCACAAATATTGTTGTAAATGAATTTAAAAATGAAGAAAAATATAAATTCAGAATCATGGATAATTTATTTGATTTGTATAAAAAGCTTGACGATTTTGATTGTTGAAAATTATTTTTTTTTTTTTGACAAATTTGGCTATATTTTTGAAAAATAAATTTGTATTTTTAATATTTGTTGATTTTATATACTATTCCTTATTTATCATTATTTTATATTATAAGAATATTGTTACTGTAACTTGATCAAAATTATTTTCATCATTTTAATTTTCAATTATTATTTTCTAGAATCATTAATTATTTTTTATGAAAATAATCCTTAAAAAAATTTTATTATTTATAAAATTAATTGAATTCCTGTGAAATTTTTATTATTTATGAAAATAATTAAATGTTTGCAATTTTGCATACAATTTTATTGAAACTCTTTTTAAATAATTGGATTCTTTTTGATAAATTTTATTAAAAACAAAAATATTATTTTTTTAGTTACTTTTTTTAAATTAATGAAATTAGAAAATTTTTTGCTGCTAGTTACTGTTTAAAATGTATTACATTTTTTCAAATTAATTAATTTATTTATTTCCTAATAATTTAATTTTTTAAAATTTTTTGTTTAAAATTTTGTTTTTTAATTTTTAATAGTTTTTACAACTTCTAAACTTTCCAAAATACTAGCAATGTTGCAGTAAAATTATAATATTATTTAATTAATTAATTAATTAATTAATTAATTAATAATTAATAATTAATAATTAATAATTAATATTAATTTTTAATTTAATAACTTAATAATTTAATTTTTGTTAAAGTTCAATTTTATGAGTTATTTGTTAATTAAAAATAATAATAACAATAATAATTTTTATTATAAATATTTTATAATTATTATCATTTGTTAATAAACATTCTAATTATTAACTAGTTAATTAACAGTATTTATTAGTCTTTAATAAAAATTAATTTTCAAAAAAATTAATATTAAAGTTAGTGAAAAATAAATAGTAAATGAATATAAATACAATTAATTGAATAAAGTATTTATATAGTAGCATTAATCATGGAATTAATTTTAAATATTACGGAATAATTGATAAAGACAAACTTTCAAAACAGTGCCGCAGGTTCAAGGTTGATAGCATTAACACTGTATAGTTGATAAGTAAAATTATGACTAATTTCAAGATAACCCAATATTTATTATCAATATTAATTCGTTCACTATTTTTAAGAAATCAATTGGTGACATAATTTTTATCTATAAATAATTGATAAAGAATTTAAAAATGAAACATATAGTCAAGAATTGCTTGAAATTTATAATTTTACCAAATTTTAATTGTTTTATTTATAAAAATAAAACGTAGTCAAGAATTGCTTGAAATTTATATTTTTGCCAAATTTCAATTGTTTTATTTTAAAAATAAAACGTAGTCAAGAATTGCTTGAAATTTATAATTTTACCAAATTTCAAACAAAGTAGTTAAAATTATAATTAACGTTATTATTATCATTGTTGTTTATTGTTATTATTACAATAATAACAACAATAATAATTATACGACCGAGTGATAGTATCAATATTATAATAATTATAGTAATTAATTATTAATATTATTAATATTATTATTATTATTATTATTATTATTATTATTATTATTATTATTATTATTATTATTATTATTATTATTATTATTATTATTATTATTATTATTATTATTATTATTATTATTATTATTATTATTATTATTATTATTATTATTATTATTATTATTATTATTATTATTATTATTATTATTATTATTATTATTATTATTATTATTATTATTATTATTATTATTATTATTATTATTATTATTATTATTATTATTATTATCATTATTATTATTATTGTTATTATTATTAATTATTATTTATATAAGATGTTTTTGTTTTTTTGGATTAATTATTAATTTTTATTATTAATTATATTGATAATTAATTTTAGTATAATAAATCATTATTATGATGATAATAGTAATAATAATAATTATTTTGTCAGATTAATTTTACGTAAAATTGAAATTAAAATTAAATTTTTCGTAAAATTAATCTGCCAAAATATTTAATAAACGGAAGTAAAATTATTTGAACAATAATAATTATTGTTATTATATTATTGTGACTAAAAATGTATCCCCCTTGGAAGATGCTTAAATTAAGTGTAAGTAACATTTAATTATTATAGTTGTTATAATAATTACTTTTATTAAGAAAACAATTAATTAAAATTTTAATTTTTCCCTAAAATTATTCTTTTTCAAAGCACGAGGACACGTGATTCTGTTGACAAAATAAGGAAGGGGAAAATGATTTGTCATTGAAAAAGGGATTTGAAATTATTGACAGTCGAACTTGTTGTCCCTCAACTGAAACATTTCTTGAATTTCCAAAGAAAAATTGTGTAAAAATCTAAATGTTGGATAAAAAGGAAAAATATTCCTTATTATTTTGAAAAAAAGTGATTTGATTTGATTTGATTTTTTTTTTAAAGAAGATGGAATTACACATTTGTCCCGGTTTTTCGCTGAGTGAGCAAGTTATTCGCGATATTGCTTATTTAAAAACAAATGGTTTGGGACCAGAGGAAATAAATAAAATTACCGTTCGTATTTATTCATGCGGTAGACGTTATACGGGACGATTTGGACGTTATTTTCTCCTCTCATTTGATAATACACCAAAATTATTACGTTGTTTCGTGAAAATACCACCGTCATTAAACAGCAATGAGGAGTCTATTGTACGAAATTTGGGTTTATTTAATCGTGAAGCAGAAATGTATGCAATGGTATTTACGAAAATTTTAAAAAACGAAGACTCTGACATAATACCAAAATTTTATTATGCACAAATGAATAATGTTATAATAACTGACGAAATGGTAACAAATAATTATAGGAAAATTGGTAAATTATGTTCCCTTGGATATGAGCATGTTTGTATTGCATTAAAATCATTGGCGAGATTTCATGCGAGATCAATTATTTATGAGGAAAAAGTTAGTGGTTATAGTTTATTGGACGATTGTGAAGTGACATGGCACGTTAGATTGCAATTACGACCATATGATAGTTTAATGCAAAAATATTATTCTGGCATTGGACATAGTTTAACGGAGGCATTTCGTTATATTCCGCAATTTATTCCTCTTGAATTGAGAAGATTTACACGTGAATTTCAAAAAGCGGCTAATTCACTGTTTCCAACAATTACGGCTAAGGAATTTTCCAGTATGAGAGTTTTATGTCATTCCGATTTGCAGACATCGAATCTTTTGTTTCATTACGATCGCAATGGACGACCTGATAAATGCTGTATGATTGACTTTCAATTTGTCAAGTAAGTTTCAATTTTATTTTTTATTTTGAAAATTTTATTAGATTTACAGGGTGTCTACTAACCAGGAAATCCGGGAAAACAGGGAATTTTTTACTAAATTAAAAAAAAATTTTTACAGGACAAAAATCCAATCCAAAAAATCCAAAAAATTCGGGAAAACAGGGAATTTTTCACTAAATTAAAGAAAATTTTTACAGGACAAAAATCCAATCCAAAAAATCCAGACCGAAAAATCCAAGAAAAAAAGTCCACAGTACAAAAAATCCAAACTAATAATATCCAAAGTCAAAAACGTCCAAAATAAATAATGAAACATATGTGAAAAAGCCACGTTTTTACTTTTTTACGTTATAAAATCAGAATTTAAAATATTAATTTTTAAAATCGCAGGATTTTAATTCTTTAAACATAAATAATAAAATTCTTAAAAAAAATTCAATTATTTTCATAAATAAAAAAGATTTTTCAAAAAAATTCAATTATTTTTATAAATTAAAAAAAATTCTTCAGAAAAATTCAATTATTTTCATAAATAATAAAAATTTCTAGAAAAATATCAATTATTCTATCAAATTTTTGAAAAACAATTATTCCAAGAAATACAATTATTTTCAACAATTTTGATAAAAATTCTTTACAATAATTCAATTTTTTAAAAATATAATTTCAATTAAATTACTCGATTAAATTTAATTATTTTCGGAAATTAAAAATGTTAAGTTTACCTAACAACTTAAAAAAATTTGAATTTTTCTATCTGAATTTTTTTCATTGGATTTTTAATTTCTTTGGACAAAAAATCCAAAAAAGAAGTCAAAAATGAAACTATTTTTTTTTTACTTTTTTGAATTCCATTTACTTTGGATTTTTTGGTTTGGACTCTTTGTCCGGATACCGTTTTTAAAAAATCGATTTTTATTTAAATTCTTATAGATATTTATACTGCTCTCTAAATTTGAATTAGTTAAAAATAATAAATTTGATAGTAAAAAATCAGTCACTGATTCAAATATAGAATGAAAATAAATTAAAAAAAAAAAATTATCGAATTAATAGAAATTTTGTGAAATTCAACTGAAAATAATTAAATTTGTTAAAGAATTTTTATTAAAAACTTTTTAACAAATCGAATTTTCAAAGTATTTTAATTTAATAATTGATAAATAATTGAATTTTATAAAGAGTCATATTCTAATGTATTCATGTTTCTTAGGGCGAAGATTAATAATTGAAATTTTTATTAGTTAATTTAAAAAAAAATACACACTTAAATTTTTTTAATAAAATTGAATTTTTGCAAAGTTTTTTTTGCAAATTCTGAAAAATAAGATTTTTGAAATTTTTCAATTCTATTGTTTCAAGATAATTGAATTTCTATAAACAAATAATTGAAAATTTTTGAAATAATTGAAATTTCTTTACATTCACAAAAATTCAATTATTTTCATAAATTTCCATAAAATTCTTCACAGAAATTCAATTATTCTTAAAAATTTTATTAAAATTCGTCTAAAGAATTCAATTATTTCCATGAATAGCAAAATTCTTCATATTTACTAAATTCTTTTGAATAATATTTAAAAAAAAAAATTCTTTACAAAAATTCAATTATTTTCATAAATTTCCATAAAATTCTTCACAGAAATTCAATTATTCTTAAAAATTTTATTAAAATTCGTCGAAAGAATTCAATTATTTCCATGAATAGCAAAATTCTTCAGATTTACTAAATTCTTTTGAATATCATTTTAAAAAATAATTCTTTTCACAAGAATTCAATTATTTTCATGAATTTCCATAAAATTCTTCGCAGAAATTCAATTATGTTTAGAACTTTTATTACAATTCATCGAAAGAATTCAATTATTTCATTAATAGCAAAATTCTACATATTTACTAAATTCTTTTGAATATTATTTAAAAAAATAAAAATTCTTTATAAGGATTCAATTATTTTCATGAATTTCCATAAAATTCTTCACAGAAATTCAATTATGTTTAAAAATTTTTTTAAATTCTCTTCAAAATTTCAATTATTTTTATAAATAATTAAATTCATCTCCAAAATTCAATTATTTTCAAAAGTTTTACTAAAATTCTACGCAAACATTTAATTTAATTTCATTTCTCTACTCTTATAAATAGTAAAATTCTTTGCTGAAATTCAAAATTGAATTTCTGCAAAGAGTTTTACTATTCATTTTACTATTTATTTTATGGAAGTTTATAAAAATAATTGAATTCTTGTGAAGAATTTTATTTTTCAAAAATAATATTCAAAAGAATTTAGTAAATCTGAAGAATTTTTCTATTTCTAGAAATAATTGAATTCTTCCGGCGAATTTTTAATAAAATTTTTAAGAATAATTAAACAAAAAAAAATGTTTAAAAATGTTATGTTTGATTTAAACTTAAAAGTTAATTATAAATAATTTTAAATCAACCATAAATTAGGTTCGAATTAAATATATTATTTCTATAAATAAATCAAAAAATATTTTTGAACTAAACTTAAATTTGTTTGACTTAATAGCAAAGATAATTTAAATTTGATTTAAACAAAATTTTTTTGAATCAAATAAATCGTTTTCTCAGTGTAATTCAATTATTTTCCAAATTTTTAATCAAAATAATGAAAAAAAAAATATTTTTAAAAAATTTAAAGAAACTCGTCAAAAGAATTTAATTATTCTTAAAAACTCTAAGACAAAATTTTTGAAGCTATTTGTAATATTATTCATGTTCGAAATCAAATAAATTTAAATTTGATGAGAAAAAAAACCGGGGAAAATGGGGACAAAGCCGTAAAAAACCCGGGAATTTTGTTAAACGAAAATCGACGAAAATAGTAGACACCCTGGATTTATTTTATTATTAGGTAATATTTATTAAATTTTTCACTTATTAGATGTATTATTTATTAGATTTATTAATTATTAGATGTATTATTTATTAGATTTATTAATTATTAGATGTACTATTTATTAGATTGATTAATTATTAGATATATTATTTATTAGATTTATTAATTATTAGATGTATTATTTATTAGATTTATTAATTATTAGATTTATTATTTATTAGATTTATCTTTAAAAAAAAAGAAATACAAGTGAATTTTTTTTTTCATAGGTACTCATCATTGGCCTATGATGTTTGGACATTTTTGTACGCGACAACAGTTAAGGAATTGAGAACAGAGAGACTCAATAATTTTTACATGATTTATTACGCAGAATTGGCGAAATATTTAAATGAAGATGGTGTCAATGCACAGGATATGTTTCCTTACCATGAATTTGTGAGAATGATGGAAAAAGATCGTGTTTATGGTATGTTGCAAGGTGTCTTGGGAATTTATCACGTTCTCCATCAGGAAGTGAAAGTGACACATGGACCGAATTATAGGAAAACTTGGCAAAAAATATGGATGAATTCACCGGACGTATTGACGGAGAGTTTCGATAAAATTCAACGACTCAAGCATCGAATTGTCGAATCATTATTGGAATTGTATTCCTGTTTAATGGCAGGTGAAGCAAGTGATTCAGAGGGTAGTGACGATCCCATATCTCTAGGTGACGAAGTTTCCGAAGTGGATGATGAATTATCCGATGTTTCAATCGAAAGTGGTTTGAGAATGCAATCTGATGATGATATCGGCGACGATGATGAGGACGAACAACCAAGAGGACAACAAATGCTCGTCAATTTTGTAATCCATCAATAAATTTTCAAAAATTTATTTTTCTTTATTTTTCTTTATTTTTCTGACAACATTTGGAAATTTTAGTTTGAATAAAAATTGTCCAACAAATATACTCGATTTTCTTAAAATCCTCAATTTCCCTGATCTGAACTTTCAATAGAAAGTAAATAAACAAATATTCTTTCTCTACATTTGTTTTTCTTAGTTTTGAATCAGTTTCCAAAAGAGTGTCATCACTACAAGAAGTACAAAAATATTTTCCACTATGGAAATACCATTGACAGGCGATATTATTCTATCCGACAAGACAGTGAAACGAATAATTAAACTAAAAACCGATCATTTGTGTAATATAATCGATTTAAAGGACGTGAAAATAAACCTCAACTTCTTGGTCAATGATAATTGTCAAAAAAACAGATACGCAACAATTAAAATCAACAGTCCAGTAATAAATGAAGAATTACGTGTTTTTCTAAAAATACGAGAAATTAAAAATATTAACAATCAATTTAGTATTGTAAAAAGACTCGGTTTATTTTATCGTGAAATTGAAATTTACTCCTCGGTATTTCCAAAAATATTAAAAATCGAAGACGAGGATATTATACCAAAATTCTATCACAATGAAAATGATAGTGTTCTCATTATTGACGATATGAAGAGTAAAAATTATAGGGCAATTAATAAAATGCATTCTTTGGATTTATCACATTGTATTATTGCGCTAAAAACACTCGCTAAATTTCATGCAAGATCAATTGTTTATCATAAAAAAAATATTGAAACACTGCCATTAATTGATTATACGAGAAAATATTCTAATACGGAAAAAATTATGATTCACGAAACTGAAAGTTATTTGAGAATTTATTTTAATTCAATTGCTCATTGTTTGGCGGATTCATTTCATTTGATTAAAGAATTCGAGACATTGGAGTGTAAAAAATTTAAACTTATTTTCCTCGAGATGGTTGATAAATTTTTCGATGTTGTTGCGCATCCGAATTTTTCAAAATTACCAGTTTTATGCCACTCGGACCTCGTCGCTTCAAATCTATTGTTTCGCTACAATGACAACAATGAACCTGTCACGTGTTGTTTCGTCGATTTTCAATTCACCAAGTAAGTGACTTTTTGCTGTTACTAAATAATTTATTATTATTATTATTATTATTATTATTATTATTATTATTATTATTATTATTATTATTATTATTATTATTATTATTTTATTATTATTTTTTTTGTTATTATTTTTGTTATATTTTTTTTTATTTTTATTAGTCTTAACTATAATTAATTAAGAAATAAAAAATATTTTAGTAACTAATTAATAATCAAGTATAAGAATAATAAATGAACCATATAATTATTATGAATTATATCATGAAAATGATAAATTAGTGAATATTAAATTATAAATTATGTATAATTATAATTTTTATAATTATTATTTTATAATTATAATCTTTTTAATTATAATTAATTAAGAAATAAAAAATATTTTTAGTAACTAATTAACAATCGAGTATAATAATAATAAATGAACGTTATAATTATTATGAATTATATCATGAAAATGATAAATTAGTGAATATTGAATTGTAAATGATGTATAATTATAATTTTGATAATTATTATTTTATAATTATAATTTTTATAATTATAATTTTTATGATTATTATTTTTATAATAATAAGTTTTAGTAATTATTATTTTATAATAATTATTTTTGTTTTCTCTGTAGATACTCATCACCAGCCTACGATCTCTGGGGATTTTTCTACATGAATACAACGAAGGAAATGAGAAATGAAGGAATTGATATTTTTTGTAAAATTTATCACGAGACATTGGTGAAAATTTTAAATGAAAATCAAATCAATGGAAATTATTTATTTTCACATCATGAATTACAGGATATGATGAAGAATGAACGAATTTATGGATTAATACAGGGAATTTTGAATCTCTATAGGGAATATCGTCAAGAATTAAAATCAAAATATGAAAAAGATTATCGTCAAATAATGTCAGAATTGTGGATGGAGACATCAATGTTGTCACGTCAGAATATTGAAAATTATCGAAACTACAAGAAAAGAATAATCGACCAAATTATTGAATTGTATTCAATGGTAATGACGTAATATTATGTAACTTTTTTTTTGTAAATTTATTTTGTATTTTTAAAATTGACTTCGATATTTTTAAACTTTATTGGAAAGTAAAATAAAAGTATTTTAACTTTAATTTTAAATAAATTCCTCTAAAAATGCAATTATTCTTAAAAATTTTATTAAAACTTTGACGAAAGAATTTAAATTTGAAAAACATTCAATTATTCAATAAAATAATAATATTCGTTACAATGATTCAATTATTTTCAGAAATAATAAAAATCTTCTAAGGAATTAAATTATTTGCAAAAATTTTAATAACATTTCTCTCAAAAAATCAATTATTGTCATAAATAATAAAATTCTTCGCAGGAATTTAATTATTTTAAATATAATTTTAATAAGATTTTCTAAAGAAATCAATTTTTTTCCAAAAAAAATACTTGTTCTCAATTTTATTAAAATTTTGTTTACATAATTCAATTCTTTTTAGGAAATTTTATTAAAATAGTAGATATTTAAAATCATTGAAATTAGAAAAATGCATTTTATTTTTGAAAATAATTGAAATTAGGACAAGAATTTTTTTGACGCATTTATGAAAATAATATAAATTTAGAGAAGAATTTTGTTATTTGTAAAGATAATTGGGATTTTTACTAGAATTTTTTTTCAAATTTTGAACATAGTTGAATTTTATAAGAAGAATTTTATTTTTTTTTGAAAATAATTGAATTTTTGCAATTATTTGTAATTTTTCCAAAATTGATTTTTTTTTAGTGTTTTTAATAAAAATTTAAATTAGAAAATTCATTTCTTTTCATTGAAAGACTAAAATTTTGTTAAATATTATGTTTTTCAAATCGAAATTATGCTGAATTTTTTTTTCTTTACTTCTTAACAAAATTGGAAAATTTAATTATTTTGCATTATTTTTCTTTATGAATCACAATTTTCTTCTCAAAATTATTATTTTTTTTTAGAAAAAGAAAAAAAAAATATTTGCATAATTCCTATTTTTAATCTTATTTTTTGTACAAAATTCTGTTTATCTTTTATAAAAAGGAACTAAATTGCATCGTTTTTATTTTTCAATTACAATTTTTTTTAAACAAAATTCAAAGAGTTCTTAAAAATAAAAAAAAAAACAAATTCTTTATAATTTATACTAAATTTGATTTATTAATTATAAATTTTCAAGAAAATTTCAAGTTTCTTTTGGAAAAAAGGAAAAAATTTATAAGTTTTTAAATTTTTTTATAAAAAAGTATATTTATAAAGAAGTAAAAACCTTGAAGAACTTATATTTTTGAATTACGATTGTTATAGAAATTTTGATTTTTTCAAAAAGTAAATTCCAATCTAATTAAATTCATTGAAAATTGAAATTTTATACAATTTCAAATTAAAACTTTCAAAAAATTAATCTATTTATAAATAAATTTTAAACGCAACTCTTTTAAAATTCAATTAGTTTCGAAATATATTTTAAGTAAAATTAAAATTTTTTTAATTATCTTAAAATTTTTATTTTTTAAGAAACGATAGTTTCTTAAAACAAATAAAGTTATTTAAAAAGAAATTATTGTCAGAAATAGAAAAAATTATGGGTTTTTTGAATTCGTAGTAATTTCACAGTTTATGAGGCAACAAAAAGGCACAAAAATTCAGAAATTTCTTTTAAATTTTATTTTAAACATTTAATTCTTTCCACTACTTTTAATAAAAATTCCTATGACTTTTCTATGAATTCCCTGTCTTAGAATATATTATTATTATATAATATAGAATATAATATAGAATTTATTATTATATTAAAACTATATTCCAATTCATATATTATTTTTATTAAGAAAAATTTGGATAAAATATTTTTAAATTCTATTATTTTTAAAATTACTATTTAAAATTGCTGATTTTATTTAAAAAAAAGGAAGTAAGAAGTTAGCCGCGCGCTTTAGCGCGCTAATTGTTACTATTATTATTTATTATCTTTCTTTATTACTTTAATATTATTTATAATCTTTATTTATTACTCTAATATTATTTATAATCTTTATTTATTACTTTAATATAATTTAAAATATTTATTTATTATTTTAATATTATTTCATAAATTATTGATTAGTTAAATAAAAGTAAAGGCAAAATACTATTTTAAATATTTGAAATTCAAATAAATTCATTGACTGTCGATAAAGTAAAATACTCTTTGATTTCTTAAAGGTGAATGCTTATTTTAACTTCTGATCATGCGCAATATTATACTACTCTTACCACCACTCTTCACACACCAGGTCATGGCCAAATATACAGGCGCAACGCCAGTATGGGCCAACGTTAATTATATTCTATCTACCACCACTCTTTCTACTTTGAATGTAAATGCGGGAATCCCTCAATGGCGTTTCATAATAACTTTAAATAAATATTTTGTTAATTTTACTATTTTTTTTTCATTTTGTGCACTAATTATTTAAATAATCCTTTTTTTGAGAAACAATAATTTTTTTAAAAATTTCCATAGGCTAAAATTTTCTGATTTTCTGTTTTATATTTTTGCTTTCGGGGAAGCCCGGGATAATGTGAATAACTGACACTATTACTTAAGAATGAAAATTAACCACAGTAGTTAACTGGTAACTTGTGTGTCGCAGTTATAAACGACAATACAAAGAAAAAAGTGTTTGTGTTGATTGTAAACTTCTCGATACGTGATCCTTATAATGAAAATATCAGTACCTTTTCTTCGTTCGTTATGAAATGACGTCTTTTTTACAACATTCGTTAAAAGTCTGTTAAATAATCTTTACTATTCAATAAAAAGTTTTTTTTTTTATTTGAGTACAAAAAAATTATAAAATCCATTTTGGAAAAAAATTTTTCAAAATGACATGTAATTTAGTTCTTGGCTATGAGCCATCTTTCCAAGTAATTAAACAAAAATTAAATAATAAATATTTAATTGAAAAAATAATACCAATCGAAGACGAAATGTTGGGCTACTTGGGAAAATATTTTATCCTCAAAGGAAAAAGGGAAACTAACGAAGAACCGGCAATTTTTAGTTTTTTCCTCAAAATTGTACCAAATAGTGAGAAACAAAAAAATTTCGTGAAACAATCCAGTGTTTTTAATAATGAAATTATTCTCTATGAGAATTTATTTCCTCAAATGAAATTTGAAGGAATACCTAAATTTATTTTAGGTCTAAAAGACAATTTTATTCTATTGGAGGAAATGACAGTGAGGAATTTTCAAATGTTGGACAAATTAAAAACGTTTAATTTGAATTTTTGTCAAATTGCATTAACAGCATTGGCTGAATTTCATGCGAAATCGATTCTATTTGAACGGAGGGAAAGTATAGTGAAATTTTTGAATGAAAAAAATTGCAATTTACATTCACCGGAAAGTTTAATGTCAGGAGCATTAAAGACAAATATAAATGGTGTTTGTCATATTATTGATTTCATTATCAGTATTGAAAAATGTGAAAAACAATGGAAATTAGTGAAGAAATGTTTGAAAAATGAGGCCGAACAGTATTACAAAAGAAATTTTGTTGAAAAAAAAGTATTGTGCCATACTGATTTATGGTCTAATAATATTCTTTTTCAATTGGATGATAATCGGAATCCAATAAATTGTTGCTTGGTAGATTTTCAGTTGTGCAGGTAAGCTAATAATTTCTTTTAAATACAATTTAAATTTAGATAACATTTTTAATACATTCTCTAAATTTGAACCAATCAAAAATAACTGATTTAGAAACAAAATTCAGTCACTAATTTAAATAATAGTATTTCTACTCTTCATTTAATTAAAAATAACTGATAAAAAAAAAAAATAAAAAAAACTCACCAAACAAAAAATAACTGATGTTTCAGTAGATTTTTAAAACTGATTCAATTAGTCGAGTTTAATTATTTTTCACTGAAAATCGGTTATTTTCAACTGATTCAGAAGCAAAAAAAAGTCACTGATTATCAGTTAAAACTAATTTTTAAAACAAATTAAAAATAATTACTTCCTCATAGAGGAAGTATTTTAATATTTTTATAATATTATTTTTAACAAATTTAGAGAGTATATTTAACAATAAATAGACAATAAACAGTAAATTAATAGACAATGTTTACAGTAAAAAAAATTGCTTTTTTTGGGCAGGAAAAAAAAATTTTTTAAATGGACAATTTGGCAGAAAGAAAATAGATTTAAAGTAAATTGTAAAATTCTCTGTCAGTTGCATCAGAAATCTTTAAGATTCCCCCTTCTCTAAGATACAAAAGTGAATGCGGGTGTGTAGTTTTCTTAATACACCGTTTTGTTTATTTCCGTTTGTACATAACACGACTCCGGTTGAAAATCATTTAAAGTATAAAGTGTCACTGAAATATTTTAAACATCATTAATCAGAGCACTTATTCAAAACATTATTTACAGGAAGTATATATATAAAGAAAATAAATGCTGAAAAAAAATAAATACCGATATAGATCGTCTTCATCTTGAATCAATTTATAAAGTTTAGACATTATATAATTTAAATTTGGAGTTATTTTAAATTTAACATTAATTTTATTTCATTTTGTTTTTATTTAATCTAATTTAATCTAATTTAATCTAATTTAATCTAATTTAATTAAATTTAATATAATTTAATGCAATTTATTATAATTTAAAATTATTTTATTTTATTTTATTTTATTTTATTTCATTTAATTTTATTTCATTATAATTAAATTTTATTTCATTATGATTAAATTTTATTTCATTAATTTTATTTAATTTCATTAACTTTATAAAGAAATTTTTATCGATTTTTGTAAGATGATGGAAAAATTAATCATGAATTAATTAATTCGTCTACTTTAATTTAATTTACGTTAATTTAAATTAACATTAGATTAAATTTAATTTAAATTTAAAAATAAATAAAAAATAAATGTAATTTATTAAAAAAATGTAGTTAATGAAAAGAATAGAATTGTTATCTATAAAAGCAGAAAAAAAACAAGAGTTAATTATTACAGATAAAGAATAGAAAAATAATATTTAAAGAATTATAAAAAAAATGAGTCATATATATAAAAATAGTTCGGAATTTAAAATTTTTTATTTAGATTTAAAAAATTCTATAGGTAAAAAAAATGAATGACTTGTCGATTTATCAATTACATGACTCATTCTTTTTATTGTTTTTTTTCAATTGCGCGAACGTGAAAAAGCATAACTTGACGTTCACGTAATGTATGTGTGATAAGAAAATGGTCAAATCAGCACGATTCAATACTATTCGTTTAGAAAAGAAATATATAGAAATATACCTAATAAATGTGCTGAAAAAAATAAAAAAAAATTATTATTGTTGTAATTAGGTAAACCGTTGTTTAATTAATTTAATAGAAAATTGAGAATTATTTTCAATAATTTGGACCTCTTCGACTTTTCTTCCAAACATTGCAACAAAATACCACAATTTTTAGTGAAAAAGTGCAACTTATTTTGATTTTTATAATGCGAAAATTAACTATAAACAAATCTTTCAAAAATTGTATTTGCATCTAAAAAATTAAAATTAAAAAAAATTAAAATTTTGTAAAATTTAATTGAAAATAATTCATTTATTTCAAGAATTTTGTTACAATTTTTGAAAATCAACTTTTGAAGAAATTTAATTGCAAATTTTGAAAATAATTGAATAACCAAAAATTTTAATGAAAAATCTTTAAAGGTAAATTTAAAAATGAAAATTAGCTTCTAATTTTTTAAAATTCAATATTTTTAATTACATATTTCCAAAAATAATAACAATTTAGAATTATTTTGAACATTTTGGAGAAAACAATAATGTTCAAAATTTTTATTAAAATTTATCAAAAAAATTCATTAGTTTTTTTCAAGTTATACAAAAGTTATTTTAAGAAATACAATTATTTTCAAAAAATTACATTAATAAAATATTTTAAAAAACTAATTATTAGAATTATTTTGTAATATTTTTTAAAATTGAAAAACTATTATCCTTCAAAAATTATTTTAAAATATTAAAAAAAAAAATTAATTTGTAAGAATTTCTTTATTATAATTTTTTTAAAATATTATATCTTAATAACGTAAGAAAAAACTATATGAAGAGTCACAAAGAATATAAAAAATTGAGTTTATGTATTTAAATAATTAAATTCTAGAAGAACTTTTGGAAAATTATTTAAATTAATTGATTCAGAGATGAATTTTAGTTGAAAATTGTGGAAAATAATTAAATTCAGGAAGGGTTATAATTGTAATTTTTAGAAATTATTAAAATTCATAAATTTTACTCATTTTCCGTAAAAATTAATATTTTCCTGTAAAAATAATTCTGTCAGGGAAAGCAATTTTAATGTCAGTAAATTTTCAGGGAAATTGATAAACTGAAACTTGTGAAATTAAATTTTAAATTAAATTAATTTTAAATTAAATTAAATTAAATTAATTTTAAATTAAATTAAATTAATTTTAAATTAAATTAAATTTTTTTTAATTAAATTAAATTAAATTTTTTATTACAGATACGCGCCACCTGCCTTGGATGTATTAATTTTTTTGTACTTCACAACAACGAAAGAATTAAAGAAGAAGCACTTTGAGGAACTGATTGACTTCTATTATGACGAATTAAAAAAAAATCTCGAAAAAGAAGACGTTGATATCCAAGGAATTCTGCCGCTCTTAGAATTTAAAAAAACTATTAAACAATTGAAACTTATGGCAATGACGGCGGTCATAGCCTATATGAGCATTGATTTGCTGACAACGAATGTCAACAAAAAAGGTTCAGTTTCAAAGAAAGAGGTTTGGAATTGTCTTTCCTTCAATACAAAGGAATTAGTTTTGAAACAATTTCTTGCCGTGGACGAATATAAATTTAGAATAAAGAATAATTTATCGGAAATTTACGAGGAAATAACGGGAGATGAATGTACTATCGAAAAATGTTAATTTACCCTGTTTATGTTAATTTCCATTATTAACATCGTCAATTCTTTTTAATTTTTGTCGAAACAAGAAAAATTTGTATACGTAAAAATGTTTCAAAAAGTTTTAATGAACACGAATGTTGTTTTCTACGTTTTTAAAATTGTAATCGTCAATTTTTGTAGTTTTAAACTTTAATTTGCCTTAAAAAGGAATTTTTTTTAACTTCTAAAAACTCGATGAATGTAAAATTGCAATTTTTTTAAAAAAGTTTATAAATAAAAGAAAATAATGAGTCTAAACCTGTTGAATTGTAGAATTCTGCCTCCTTGATCTGATTAAAATCTCAATGATGATTTCTCCTGATTTTCTTCGTAAACTTTCGTTCGAATATTGTACACTTTATGTATTCCGATTTTTATTTTTATTAAGAAATATTTCTTTAAGAAATTTTAAAGATTTATTAAAGATTTATATCGTACTTTTTATTATAAATAATTTTTCACACTTGGTCGATAAACTTAATTTTAAAACGCGACACAAAAAATATTTCGGACAAATTAAATTTATGAACCACGCACTTCTATTAAAATAAAGTTAACTTCTCTAATTCTCAAATCTAAATTTCAAACTACAAGTACAAGAATGCGACCGAAGAACAAGAAATTCAAAAATCAACTGTAACGACAAAGTACTGATGGAGGGTTTATATAGGCGTTAAAAATCATAATTACTGCTAATTATACCCTTGGTGGTGGGGATGAAGAAAATACAAATTAGATTTTAAGTACTTGGGGTTTTCCCATTACAGAGTCAAAAAGTTGAATTTTCGAAACAAAAGTAATGGTTCAAGTCTAGTAAAGCTAAAGATCCTTAGAGACAGGTATTTCACACCTAAAATCATTGTATTGTAATTACAATCATTTGTCTACATTTCTTTTCAAATTTACGACAAAATTACCTGAGACTATTTACAATTTTCGTTAAGTAGTTAATTAAAAACGTATTAAAAATTGTTTATAAGTAAAGGTAAGAATTTATTTTTTGTTGAATCCCATCACCCTAATATTTAAAAGACTTTTGATCGTTCAGTCACAATTCCGCAATGTTAAGTGTCTTAATAATTAAAAGAAATTATAAACCTTCTAAAAAGGGGTTAAACTTCGATTCCCGAGAGTTTTTTTTTTTTTTTTGGAAGTGGAGAAAAAGGGCTTGTGCCTCTCGTGTTGTTAAATAAGGAACGAGTCTTCAGGCAAATAAGAGGTCTCCCGCGAAAAAGAGGGATTCAGGCGTTGAAGTGAAGTAATTAAAAAATATACGACGATAAAATGACATTGGTAACAAATTGAGTTATATCCCTTCGAAAATGAATTTCCCTCCTCTCCCTTTATACTGTATTTATTTCTTCATTTGAAAGAAATTTCTTTTTACAAAAAAAAATCCCAACGCTCAACTTTCATTATTTTTTTTCCTTTTTGATGGTCAAAATTATACATGGTTCCATATAAGTCGTGGAAAAACTGGAAATCATGAAATTGTCAGGGGATTTTATTTTGATTCATGAAAACATGAAAATCACATGGAATTTCTAATCGGATCATGGAATTTTTTTTAGTTTTTGTTGTAAACCCGTGTGATTTAAATTCGCGCTCCTTCATTACTCAGGGTGGTCACAAGTTTCAGTTTATCTCCCTGATAATTTACTGACATTAAAATTACTTTCCCTGACAAAAATTCTTTTTACAGAGGAAAATATTAATGTTTACGGAAAATGAGTAAAATTTATGAATTTTAATAATTTCTAAAAATTACAATATTGTAACCTTTCCTAAATTTAATTATTTTCTACAATCTTCAACTAAACTTCATCTCTGAATCAATTAATTTAAATAATTTTCCAAAATTTCTTCTAGAATTCAATTATTTAAATACAGAAACTCAATTTTTTATAATACTTGTGACTCACCACAGCTTTTTTTTAAATAATATTTTTAAAAAATTATAATAAAGAAATTCTTACAAATTATTTTTTTAAAAATATTTAAAAATAATTTTTGAACGATAATAGTTTTTCAATTATGAAAAATTTCCAAACAATTAAAATTTGGTAAAATTTTTTTAAAACAATTGTATTTTTGAAAAGTATAAATAAAAATGATCAAAACTTTTCAAGAATTTAAATTTTTAAAAGGACCCTGATTTCTCAAAAATTTTAATAAGTACAAAAATTTAATTTCAAATCTTAAAAAAGTATTACAAAACATTTCTAATAATTAGTTTTTAAAAATATTTTATTAATGTAAATAATTGAAAAAATGAAAATGAAAATGAATTATAATGAAAATAATTGTATTTTTTACAAGAATTTTTGTATAATTTAAAAAAAAACTAATAAATTTTTTTTTAAGATGAATTTTAATTTAAAATTTTGAACATTATTGCTTTCTCCAAAATATTAAAAATAATTCTAAAATGTTATTATTTTTGGAAATATGCAATTAAAAATATTAAAAATATTGAATTTTAAAGAATTAGAAGCTAATTTTTATTTTTAAATTTACCTTTAAAGATTTTTCATTAAAAATATTTGATAATTCAATTATTTTCAAAATTTCCAATTAAAATTCTTCAAAAGTTGATTTTCAAAAATTGTAACAAAATACTTGAAATAAATAAATTATTTTCAAATAAATTTTTACAAAATTTTAAATATTCAGATACAATTTTTGATAGATTTATTTTTCGCATTATAAAAATTTTATTTCCGAAAATTCAATTATTTTGAGGCATTTTAATAAATTTCTTTGCAAAATTCAATTATTTTCATAAGTAACAATATTCATCACAAGAATTCAATTATTTTTAAAAGTAATTAATTTTTTCTTGGAAATTCAATTATTGAAATAGATTTTTATAAAATTCTTCGCAAGAATTAAATTATTTTTTAAAATTGTAATAAAATTCTTTAAAAGAATTGAATTTGAAGCAACTTTAATGAAATTCTTTATATTAATTGAATTGTTTTGAATATAATTTTAATAAAATTTTTAAAAGAATTCAATAATATTCATAAATAAAAAATTTTTCCCAAGTATTCAACTATTTAAAACACAATTTTCACAACATTTTTCGAAAAAAAATCAATTATTTAAATAGATTTTAATACAATTCTTTGCAAAATTCAATTATTTTTATAAATAACAATATTTATTACAAGAATTCAATTATTTTTAAAAATAATAAATTTTTTTTGGAAATTTAATTATTGAAATAGATTTTTATAAAATTCTTCGCAAGAATTCAATTATTTTTATAAATAATAAAATTCATCTCAGAAATTCAATTATTTTTTAAAATTTTAATAATAATCGTTGCAAGAACTCAATTATTTTTATAAATGTTAAAACTCATTACAGGATTTTAATTATTTTTAATACAATTTTTAATAAATTCCGCGAAAAATGTAACTATTCGTAAAAATTTTAATAAAATTCTTTAAAAGAATTCAATTTGAAAAAATTTTAATGAAATTCTTTAGAATAATTGAATTCTTTTCAATATAATTTTAATAGAATTTTTGAAAGAATTCAATTATATTCATAAATTAAAAAATTTTGTTAATTTTTCTATTATATTATTAATTTGTTATTTAAATTATAATTTGCATAAAATTAGTCGAAAATATTAATTATATAAATAGATTTTTATAAAACTCATCACAAGAATTCAATTACTTTATAAATAATAAAATTGAGGCCTTGGATCCAATAACTCGCCCGACGCTCGGAGGAACGCGCAACTGCCAGTCAGTGAGCAGTGAGCGCCTCTAGGCCACTCACTGCTACCCGACTGGTATTAGCGCGTGCCTTCGAGCGTCGGGCGAGTTATTGGATCCAAGGCCTCAATAATTCTCAAAAATTAAATTCTTTCTATAAATATTAAAATCCATCGTATCAAAATACTTGAAATAAATTAATTATTTTGAATTCAATTTTACAAAGTTTTAACTATTAAAAAACAATTTTTGAAAGATTTGTTTATAGTTATTTTTCGCATTTTAAAAATCAAAATAAGTTTCACTTTTTTACTAAAAATTGTGATATTTTGTTGCAATGTTTGGAAGAAAAGTCGAATAAATCACAATTTTTGAAAATAATTCGAAAAAGTCTCAATTTTCTTAATTTACCTGACAAAAATTTTTTTTCATGACATTTACCTAACTTAACTGACAAAAATTTTGTTTGAATGTATTATGGAAATTTTATCATTTATCACTTGGAAATTATTGGAAAAATCATGAAATTTTATAAGGAGAAATTTTTAGAAACCCTGTTATATTATAAATATTTATAAAAAATAATTTGTATTTGTAACACTCTCCTATTCTTTTCTCTACTTCCGAAAATCCCTCGGGAATCAAGTTTAACCCCTTTTTAGAAGGTTAAAATTATATTTATAAATTATATTCTATAAATTATAATTAAAAGAAATAAGTTAATTATAAATTACGGTTTTTTTTTTGCAAATAGGTATGATATTTTTTTTTCGAAATTTGTAAAAAAAATAAATTAAAAACCCCCAGATGGGGTTAGTTTTACTATACTTTATACATATATATTAGGAAGCACTCTAGTTTCAGTGCGACTTATGTAAATTGACGGAAATGGTATGGAGAACTTTTCTGGGGAAATTCTGTTCCGCTAACGACCTACAATGGAGAAGTATAAGAGAAGCGCGAGAGAGGGAAGAGAAACGGAAGCGGACCGAATCATTTTTACCGAAATTAAATCGAAAATTAGACTCGCATTAAAATGCGGTCTCGATAGGTAGAGAGTCGCTCACGAGGATTGCAAGTGGCAGGACTAAAGAGAGCGAGAGAGACAGACAGAGAGAATGAGACGGAGTGATAGAAAGGATAGAAGAGTGAGATTTCAAGAATAAAGTAAATCGTTAAATAAGACAAATTCAAAAGTGTAGCATTGGAAGAAAATTCATTTTTAAGACAACAATTTTTTATTCTCGTCTGTTGAAAAATTATAGAAGAGAAGAGATATCGATATTGTAAATTTTAATTTCCAAAACACCATTTTAAATGTTCAGTTTGAATTTAATGCAAATAGTCCTCGTAAAATTTTCCATCAACCATATAATATACAAAATCTAGGAGAAACAACATTATTCTCAAAGAAGATTAGATTACAAGGATCTCAAGAATAAGATGCATCGAGAGAAAAACACATTTTGATGCGCATATATACATTCTTTTGAACGATATTATCGAGAATATAAAACGAAATAAGCCATTAAAATTGACACATAAATTTATAAATAACTTTGTGACTTTTGTATACAACAAAATGTTGTATATAGTGTATATCATAAAGACTGACTGTTGATATTACTTTATGAGATTGAATAAAATTTATCAGAGCGTGAGCTATTGGGTGAGATAAACGATTCCCTTTTTCTTTTTTTTTTTTT